CTTACATTCACCACCCCCTTCTTCTACATCTCTACACTTTAAAAAAAAATTTAAGTATGAGATAGGGGCACCCTAAGTTCCTCAGACAGGGCTCAAACTTGTGACCTTCCTGCCTCGGCCACAACTGAGTCTTTAATTTATAAACCATCAGCCAGTGATGTGGTCCAGGCAATTAGACAGGTTCCTCAGAGCCTTTCATTATAACAAATTTCTTGGCTTCCACCGGGGTTACACCCTACCAAAGTCATTGTAAATCCAAAGTACATTACTATGCTTTCCCTGTGGAACATCACAGCATAGCAACCCCACATGCTGTAGGATATCAGCTGTTTGCTCTCACGAAGGTGGGGTCAGTGGGGAGCTCTGCTACCTAGTATTGCCAGAGAATTCTGGACCATACATGTTGTTGGTCTGGGGAAGAGATCCAGGGCAAAATTTAAGGTATGGTTTCGACTGAATGTGTGTGGTTTTGCACCACTGGTAGAGTTGAAAAATCCTAATCATAACTTAGAGACCATCTGCACTGATAGGTTCTGTAAATGTGTGATACAACCAGACCCAGAAGCATGGGTATAACACACTAACGGGAGGAATTCTTTGAAGAACTTGAAGAAAATGCTCTTAGCAAAGCTTTTTCTCCAGCTTTTCCAACATGTGTTTACGTTCACCACCCCCTGCATTTTCTGGTTTCGATAAACACACTTTCCCCCAAATGCTGGATGCCCCATTGCACGATCTATCATTTTTAGTTATTAAATAACAGGACTCAATATTAATGTTGGCCTCTTCATCCCTCTTTAAGAAAGTGTTTTCAGCCAAAGATATTAAACCACTCTTTTCCCTGTCAGGAAAATAGCCAGCATCTTGAAATCACAGCTCATTTGTACCACATTGGCGTGAATATTCAGACTCCATTTGTCTCCAGCTCTTAAAGGCCGGTGTTAGAGTGAATGATGGACATTTTGTTTTGAATTAGCAAAAGGGAGGGGGTGAAAAACCCAAGTAAGAAGTTTAGCCTAAAATATCTGTTTCGAGGAATGTAGCTCTCTGCCTTTTCCTTTAGGAAAAGTTGATTTTGAAAAATTTGAGATTAATTTGACATTGTTGGACCTGGTATACAGAGAATAGTAGGAAGGAAAATGTCTCAGATTTTCACCCAAGATTGAGTGTTTGTTCTACTTGTGTCTGACTGGGGTGTTGTTGCATGGAGTCACACAAGAGGTTCACAACTTCATTTTGGTGAAACATCCCCAAGTGGACTTTGGAAGAAACTGAGTTTGTGTACAACCTGTACAACCCGTATCATAATTGGAACTTTAGGTAAGATCATTTTTTTCTCTTTGTCCAAGTTTTTAGGATGTACTGCTCACCTTCTTGTGGAGAGTAACTACCTGTATAACTACATATATATCTGTAGTCACCACCGCTCAATTTTCTTTTATCTCTTTCCTCTCTCTTCTTTCCCTCCCTTAGTCTCCTCCTCATTTGCAAAAGGTCTATTATTCACCTTTTTTTTGCTCTCTGTATTTTGTGTTTCTCATTTGACAGAAGAGTTCTAGATCCAAGCTCCTGACAACACAGTCTGTCTTTCTCCCTGTCATCTGTACCCCCATCTTGGCTGTCTTCTCTGGGTGCTATCTCTTTCTCTGCAGCCATATTGGATAGAGAAAGGAACTCCCGCAGAGTTCTTCATGAGGCAGGCTGCAACTCCCTGGCCAGAGAAATGCCATCAGTGAGCCAAGCTTACCAATCTACATATGGAGATTTGGGATGTTCTCTTAGCTTCTTTATCAGAAAGGTTTCTGGGATGCTGAGAAGATCCTAGGACCCTGTGTTCCCCTTTTACCTTGACCTCCAACTGAACTTGGGCTGTGTCTAGACTCGCTGTGTCCTTTCCTTGTTGTATCTCATAACAATACCTGGGAAGTGCTTCTTTGAGGAGGGACTGTTGGTCAGAGAGTAGGTCCTAGGCCTTTCTTATCTGAAGCTTGTTCTATAACTAGGACTAGAATTCCATAGGAAAGTGTCTTAAATTACAAGAGACCTCTTCAGTTAAGGATGGGTGAAGACCTCTTTAAGCCAGGCATGGTGGCACATCTGTGTAATACCAACATTCTGGGAGGCTGAGGCAGGAAGAGCCCAGTGTGGACAACTCAATGACTTAGCAAGACTCAGTCTCAAAATTAAAAATACAACAAAGCAAACAAAACAAAATGGATACAGCTCAGTGAGAAGGCTTGGGTCCAATCCTCAGAACTACCAATAAAAAAAAGACCTCATCAGACTCTAAATATGAAACTGAGTACTTTGGTAAGGGTATCCAGGGAGGGAGAGAGGAGAGAGGAGAGAAGAGAGAAGAGAGAGGAGAGAGGAGAAAGGAGAGAGGAGAGAAAAAAGAGGAGAGAGGAGAGAACAACTGTAAATTTCTCTTTTCATTTCATATGAAGCTTCAGCTGATTCCAAAAGTAGTGGCCCACAGTGCTTATAAAATTTCCCATTAATGCCCTTCTAAAACAAAGGCAAAGCCTGCTAGGTGCTTACAACTCAAAGCACTCATTTTACACACTCATAGGAAAATGAACTTTCTCTCCAAGCCCTGTAGCTGATGGAAATTAATGAAACACAGTCGGGTGGCACCTCCACTGGCCACCAGCCATGGTTCCTTGGAACACTCCAGCGTGGCAATTCATGATGGCAGAGCTCCTTCCTCTCACCTTCAATATTTTTCATTTTACATAGCAACACACATAAAATCCCTAATTCAGGTGTCAGTGGCCTTTTGAGCAGCTTCAAGAAAATGGACATTTTTTTCTTGGTTCCTCGGCAAACACAGAGTCAAGTACGAAAGACAAAAGAGGCCTCCAGCCCTTTGACAGCTTTTCCCACTAATAGATGATTAAAAAAAAAAGAAAGAAATCATTTATTTCTGCTAAAGAGAACTACAGGAATGAGAAAGGAAAGCACAAAGTAAAGACAATTTTAAGCCCCGGCTCCTTTCCAGTACAGTTTTCACTTCCTTCTATCCATGAGGGGTGGGAATTTCTCAGCAGATGTGCACATCCCTTGTTTTCTACGTACACACCCCTGTGCTCCCACAGCCCCTCAAACTCAGGAACTCATAGTCTTAAACTCATCACCCTTCTTCTTGGCTCCCCAAATAGTGCTCTTCTCTGGGGGGACTTTCCTACTGCTTTGATAAATAAGGAAGTATTAACGTCATCAGTGAATCACAGCTTCCCTTTTTACCTCTTTCTCCAGCCTTAACTTACTTCTGTTTGTAAAGGGCTCAGCAAGTTAGGAAAAAAAATTTTTTTTTAAATAAAAATCTGGGGACAACTTTGAGAAAATAAATTATAGGTTCAAAAGGTGGATCTTGTCATTTCTCTTTTTGTTTAGTCATTAAACATATCTCTGAAATGACTACTGTATATAAACCTACTCCAGTGTTGTGGGACGTGTCAAAGGCACATGCCACAATTTCAAAAACGATACCATGTCCAGGGGACATGTAAGCACTACGTGAAAGACTGAACTAAGTCGTATAAAATTGAAATGCTGCAGGAATTTGGGAGAGGAGAATCATAAGGAGGTCACATGGAATAAAATAAAAATCAAGGTATCTAAAAATGATGATGGTGTCACAGGCTGCACTGTATTCCTCGGAGTCACATGCTGAGGCCCTAACCCCTGGTATCTCAGAATGAAGCCATACTGGAGTGAAGATCTTTAAACAGGTAATTAAGTTAAAACAAGGTAGTTAGGGCGGGTTTAATCCTATATGACTGGGATCTTCACAAGAAGAGGAAGCTTAGACACACACAGACGCCAGGCAGGGCCTGCACAGAAAGATGACTGTGGTGATGCAAGAAGAAGAAGGCGGCCATTTTGCGAGAGATGCCTCTGAAGAAGCCAAGTCTGCCATCTTGATCCCAGCCTCGTGGCCTCAGAACTGAGAGAAAGATAATTTGGTTTTGAACTCAGTCTGTGGAATTTTTCTGTGGCAGCTTAAGGACACTAGTGTAGAGAAGAATGGATACAATCCTAAAATAATAATTACCCAAGAATGGTGCTAAATCCAACTTTTTTTCCCTACTGGGGTCAGTTTCAGCAAAACTGTAAGCAAGTGAGACTTCCTATAGTTTCTCCAACATCTACCTTCAGAACTACCCTTTCTGCTTCCCAGGTAATCTTACAGTCTCCTTCTAAGTAAAAGGGATTAATTGAAAGAAAGCAGTGCTCATTGCTCCTGAAATCACTAGCATTTGCACAAACATGAGCTTATTTACCCCGGGGAGTACGGACATCATCTCCTCTTTCTTCTTCAAGTCATAAGTATTATTTAGAGGAAATAAAAACTTCATTACTGATGAGGGATTATTTTAAGATATTTCATATGTGGAGAAAAGAAAACAATAAAAACTAAACCAGAAAGCTGGATTATCATACAGGAAGACAGTTCCCGTGTTATGGTTTGTGTCTAGGTGTCCTCCCAAAGCCTCATGCAGTCTTGGGGCAGCTTCTGGAGTTTGTGATTGATTACTGTGGGTGTGGATGTTGTACCTGCCCTGGGGCAGGTAATTTGCATTACAGTATAAGAAGGAAGGCAAAGCTAGCTGCATGAGCTGCTGCTACTCCTCTTGAGCTCTCTCTTGCTCTTTGCCACCACCATGAAAGGTTGCTTTCTGCTATGTGCCGCTCTGCCTTGGAGCCAGCTGAGTATGGACTGAAACCTCCTCCAGTAACTGGGAGCTAAATAAACCTTTCCTTCCTTCAATTTGAGTGTCAGGTATTTGTCTCAGCAACGAGAGAAGAGTAACTAAGACATCCCCCCAAACTTGAAAGATTCTAAATGACTGACTGGCAAATAACCTAGGAGGGGCACAGGAGGGAGGCTGTTTCTTACAATGAGCTTGTAGGTGCAACAATTTAGAAACACCAGGCAGAGGGACTGTGTAATTGCTAAGAGTAGAAGCCAAAGAAAGGTACCAAATTTTACTCACAGTAAAGCAGTCGGATGTTCACTCCTGAGCCTGCTGGTGATCGCCAAACCCTGTAGATTGGATGATCTGGAAATATTTTTTGATACCTGGAATAAAAGGAAGATTGAAACGTAAGTGGAATGAACTTTGGTGAATGTGGACAGTACATTTTAAAGTATCACTTTTCTACCAGGTATCATGGTTAATGAAGGCATTAAGAGGAGGACCCGTGAGATAGCTCAGTAAACTAAGCGCCTGCTTAGGCAAGCGCAGGAGCCGAGGTTCGATCTCTGGCACCACATGCCATGTGAGACCCTGTACTGAACACATTCAAAACAAAAAAAGACATGAAGGGGAAAATAGACCTGGGATAGAAATAGCTATTGCATATTTGCATTTTAAATAAAATAAATACTGCTATTACAGTCAATCCCTGAAATATTCAAATCATTATGTAGTGGAAGTTTTATATTTAAGCAAATGCTCTGACAGTGTTAATATTTATATGTCTAGTTTTTTTTTCCTTGTTCCCAGTTCCTCCAGCATTTTTATTTTAGCATCTGGAAACTAATAAAAGGGAACATAGAAAAAGAGAATGCTCTAAGTGGACAGAAAGCAACTGTCTGGTCTGTAGCCTTTGTGTGTGCTCATGAACTATTTTGTTAGTGAGAAGTAGGCAAGGATTTAGAAGACAAAACCTAAAAGGAATGGCAAAATGACTAAAAGTAGACTTTGTCTTCTGGTAACTCTTTTCTTTTAATTTCAGATTTATAGTAAAAGAGCCAGCAAATGGATGAAACTTTTACGCTCTGTTTTAAGGTTTTAAGTGACTTGACAACTTCACATAGAGATCACTTAGCTGCTCCTCACTTTATCTGTTCATAAATTGTCCAACACATAACTTCCAGCTGATCTGGCACAGGAGCAGGTGCCCAGCTTCCCTGCAGGCCCAGCTGTGTCTAGACCAGACAGGGCAAGGAAGGAAAAGACCCAAGGTGAAAGAGGGCGAAGAGAGGGAGGGAGCGAGACACGTTTGGCATGTGAGCCTGCCTGCCTTTCCCCATTCTGACTCCAGCCAGTGGCAAAGAGCCAGCTACTATTTATTGCTCCTTTGATTTAACCTTTTACTCAGGCATGGGACAACGTAGGTTTTATGTGAAAACATTCAGTATGAGAGAACTAAAGTGAAACAAAAGGAAAGGAAGAATTCTCTCCTTTTGATCAGATGTTTAGCTCTCCAAGGGTGGTGATTTTCTTAGAGCCCTCAGGAAATCTCCAGGTAAAGCCATTCAGTAGCAGGAGAAGTGGTAACTATTTTTCTAGGTTACAATGGAAAAATATCACTAATACTTGCTCTCAAAAACTGATTACAATCATTCTTTAAAGTGTAAAACATGGGGCTGAGGAGATAGCTCAGCAGTCTGAGCACCTGGCTGGCAAGTGCAAGGACCTGGGTTTGATCTCTGGTACCACTTGCTGTGCTGACCCTGGAACTGAGTGTGATGGTGGCACATGCCTGTAATTCCAGTACTGGGGAGTCTGAACTGTGTAGTGAGACCCTGTATCACATAAAATAAAAAAGAAAGGCACCATTTCCTAAACAGATGCCTAGGGATAGGATCTCAAATGACAACTAACTGTAACAGGCAATCATCGCAGAGGTGAAATGAAGAACCAGCCAAATAGCTCAGTGGATTAAAGCACCTGCAAGTAGGCCCAGGGGCCAGGGTTTGATCCCTGGGCCTGCCAAGTCCACCTGCCCCCAGGGCGTGCTGAGATGGATTGAGACTGGAAATGATGGCGCACACCTGTAATGCCAACACTTGGGAGACTATAAACAGGAGAATCGCCAGGAGTCTGATCTAGTAGTGAGACCCTGAACACCCTGTAGACCCTTCCCTAAAATACAAAAAAAAAAAAAAAAAAAAAAAAAAGTGAAATGAAAGATGCTTTATAAAAATGTTTAACTCTATGGTAACAAGAATAATGAATTAAAGAATTCAATAAATTTAAAAAGTTACCTTATGTAGTTGAAGACTAGACAATCCCTGTTTCGTAAAATGCTGCCCATGCACCATGGAAGTGACAAAGCCAGGGCCACGTGCCTTGTGACCTTGGCACTCATCCGACCGAGGGGATTGAGGTTCAGATGGCATCACTAGGGCACACAGTGCTGAACGGAGTGATCCTACCCAAAAGCAGTCCTCAAATGTGACACTAGGGTGGCTGAGGACCCTTCCTGCCCTTAGAGTGTCAAGGATGCACGTGGCCACTTTGTACTCAGTGCCTGGGAGGACTGATGTCCCCTCCCTGGTTCATGTGGTGAATGTGGGTCTACATGCGCTCCGTTCAGTCTTCTGTGTTAGACAATAATGCGGACTATTTGTTAATAACTGAAGAATGAGAAGCTCTAAGACATACTCTTTGGAATAGGAAAGGAATGGCAAATAGCTGTTTCCATCATAGTTGGCGTGGAGGTACCTAATTTGTGGGGATGGATAATGAAATGAAATATTTAAAAACAAGTCCATAGGTTTTAATCAAAAATAAGCCAAGGACAATAAAACATAAATAACTGTCTCTTTTATATTTATAGTTGAGTATGGGGGCTCAGACTACAGCAAAAAAGCAAAATCATGTGATCATAAGGAACCTGGGGTCATTGAAATAACTACTAATGAGGAAATTGACCTTGAACAAGTTATTGAGCCACTTGTGTTTTCTCAGTTCTTTCGTCTGTGATATGAAGCATTTGGAATAGATATTTTTGGTGATGGTGGTTTTTTTGAGATAGGGTCGCACTATGTAGCCAAGCCTAGCCTCTAACTTATGATGATCCTCCTGCCTCAGCCTCCCAAGTGCTGGGATTACAGATGTGAACCACCATGCCCAGTTGGAATAGAATCTTAAGAGCCCTTCAATTTAGATGGTTTATGTATATTATGTGATAGTTTAGGGAAAAATGTATTTGATGTCCCAATGTCTGTGAACGACCCTATGGCTATGGGTAACACATCAATTGAATTCTTCCTTTACAGCACCTAACAGGTGCTCAAGAATAATATCACTTTTCAGGGCTACCTTGCTGTATCCCTTCTTTATCATTTGTAAGAAGTGAGTGAGTTTTATAGCTCTGAGAGACACACTAATATAAAACATGATAATATCATAATTATTGAGCATCTACTGTGTACAAGGTAGTTGACATCTATAATCTTATTTAACCTTCCAGTAGAATAAGTGATTTTCTGGCAAGCACAAGGGCCTGAGCTCAATCCCTGGTTCTGCAAAAAAAAAAAAAAAAAAAAAAAAAAAAGTTGAGACTGTCTGAGAATAGGATTGCTACCCCTGCTTTTTTCTGAGGTGCTGGGGCATGTAATATTGTGTTCCATCCTTTGACTTTCAGCCTGTGAATGTCTTTATGAGTTAAATGTGTTTCTTGTATACAGCATATTGTTGGATTTTGTTTCCTAATTCACTGTGCCAGTCTATTTCTTTTAATTGGTGAATTGAGTCCATTTACATTGATGGTTATAATTGAGATGTACTGAATTATGATTGACATGTTATTTACCAGTCATCATTTACTCCTTTTTCTCCGTGTTTAATTGCTTGCCCTATTTAGTTGGTTGCATCTGATCTCATTCATGGAGTTTTGATCATTTTGGTCCCTCTCTAGAACATCTTTCAGGAACCTGTGTAGGGTTGGCTTTGTCATCATGAAATTCTTTAGTTGTTCTTTGTCTTGGAAGTATTTCACTTCTCCATCAAGCTTGAAAGACTTGACTGACCTTATCAGATCCAAAAGCTACCAACTCTTGTTGCATAGGTCTTGCTTTATCTTAGTCTTAACTGTCCAGCAGAAAAGTTTAAAAATGAAGTATAAGAAGTAAATCCATGGTGTTATGTTGAGCTGTAGGGGACACAGGTCAACAATTTCTGACACTGCCAGTCAAGCGGAAGACCCAATACTCTTATGGACTAGTGGACTCTTTTAGAATATTTTGCAGAGTTAACACACCTATAATATTCAAATGATGGAACTAAACAAGAAAGGGGATACAGATGAATGTCCATTTTGTATCTTTGTATTCAAAATGGTTAGGATATAGTTACATTCTCTTAACGAATAGAGGGATTTGTTCTAATGGTGTTTGTAAATAGGATATCATGTCTGCATCTTGTACAGCAAATAACCACTAGGAAGACAGTATGCAATGTGTTAATTATTGAAACTGTCATACCAATTTGATTTGAAATTGTCTCATTGCTATTTGTCTCTCAATAAAATTATGGAAAAAAAAAGATATGTGGCTAAGACTCTGAATCTGATTTTTGGTCATCATATTAGAGACACTGGAGGAAGAAACCAAAACAAAGGGCAGCCAAGGGCTCAGCTCCCTGGTTCCACCAAAAGAAGAAGGAGAAGGAGAAGGAGAAGGAGAAAGAGAAAGAGAAGAGAGTTTGAGATTCATCATTATCCTTGACAGAGTTGGAATTAAAAGCCAGGTCTGGCCTACTCCAAAGCATAACTATACAATCTCCATAGCTGCCAACAGGGATTATTTTGAGATCCATTACAAAAGTATGATGTAAGGAGGTTTTAATCAGATTACTAAGGGTAGGCAGACTGAGTTAGGTATCTTCTTTTAATAGAATAGCTTGTGGCAGTCCAGTACTGTCACTGGGAACATCCGTGAGATCTGGAAAAAAAATTTTTAAAAAGCCAATCCCCAAAAATCTTAAAATATATTTAAGGGGATCAAAAATCTGGATAACCAAAATTCTGAAGGGAAGGAACACACTGGAGCAATGAGCTCCTGTTCAATAATTTTCCTCCACAGTGTTTGCTGTCCATAACATACAAAATACAAATAGAATAGAAGATGAAGTGGGATGTTTCTGAGAAATAGAGTAACACTTCTCACACAGCTGAGCAGGACAGTCTTACAGCTTCAGGAGGAAAGACCATTTTGGGGTCGATAAAGCTATTCTATATCTTATTCATGGATCATTGTGACAAAAGTGTATAAATTCAACAAAACATGCAGAATTATGCACTAAAATAGTCAACTTTGTGGTGTGTAAATTATACCTTGCTGAAAGA